CCATACATCTATCCATCCATCATCCATCTACCCATCCATCCATCCATCCATCCATCCATCCATCCATCCATCCACCCATCCATCCATCCATCCATCCATCCACCAATCCATACATACATCCATCCATACATACATCTATCCATACATTAATCCATCCATCCATCCATCAGTCATGCGTCCATCCATCCATCCATTCATCTATCTATCCATATATACATACATACATACATACATACATCATAAGAGATATAAGATATAACTTTACTGATCCCACAGGAAATTGTTGTGCCAGTTTCTGTACAAAGGAACATACACAAGGAATCATAAAAAAACAGGGAATATAACAAAGTCTATGCTCAATAATCCAGGTATACAATCCAACATTTTTCAGTCAGGTCATCTGGACAGTTTATTTATTTATTTTTTTGTGCTGAAACATTTCGCCTTTGATCCAGAAGGCTTCATCAGTCAAGGAAATACACAACAAAACTGATTCTTCCCCCAACAGCTTACTCCAAAGTGGAACAAACCAGTTTTGCTTGTGATAAGATGGTCTCTTTGGTACGCCCCTCCTCCACTGCCGGCCCTCTTCCTTGTTGACAGTCGTGTCCAACTTATCACAAGCAGAACTGGTTTGTTCCACTTTGGAGTAAGCTGTTGGGGGAAGAATCAGTTTTGTTTTGTGTTTCCTTGACTGTCGAAGCCTTCTGGATCGAAGGTGAAACGTTTCAGCACAAAAAAAGAAACTGTCCAGATGACCTGACTGAAAAATGTTGAACAGAGAATATAAAAAATCACAAAAATATAAAAAATACCAACATTAAGAAGCTACAAGCTAAAAGCTATATTCGGCTTGCTGTAAATTGCTGACGCATATGCAGAAAGTTACGTTGCGTTAAAGTTTTGAAAAAAGTGTTTTTCAGTTTAGGGGCTGAGATGGTGTAGAGGCAGGGCAGCCGACCCGGAACCCAAAGGCTCTGGGTTTGATCCCCAGTCATTGCACACCTCGTGGTGTCTCTGACCAGGACACCTCATCCCCAGCTGCTCCCTGGGTGCTTCCAATAGCTGCCCACTGCTCTACCTGGTGGTGGATGGGTTAAATGCAGAGAGCCAATTTTGCCATTGTATGGAAACACAACGATGACAATACAAACACATTATTATTATTATTATTGTTATTAAGTTGTAAAACAGGTCAGGTGCAGACAGAAACATTAAAGTGTTTATTGTGGTGCAGAATTAATTTTATTGTCCTCTGTGTAGAAAGGGTGAGGAGTTGAAAAGTTTGAAGGATTTCCTGTGTGGTTATGTGGAGCACCCCTCTGTCAGAGACTGCAGGTCCACTCCCAGAACATAACCAGCTCTTGATGAGCTTATTGAGTCTGTTGGCATCAGCGTATGAAGCTGGAGACCATAGAGTGGTAAAACATCTGCAGGATGGTCCTGCAGACATTAAAGGACCTGAGTCTCCTCAGAAGAAAAATGCGACTCTGCCCTTTCTTGTAGAGGGCGTTGGTGTTAGCTGTCCAGTTCAGTTTATTGTCTAAGTGGACCCCCAGGTACTTGTAGCAGTCCACAGTGTCCACCTTAGTACCATTTAAAAAAGTTAAGTCTGGTCCTCTGGACATTCAAAAAACAAAACAAAAAAAAATAAAGTAGAAATGTTTCGTCTCTCATCCAAAGGACTTCCTCAGTCTGAGGTGCTGTTTTCAGCTCAGTCTCTTAAATAGCACCTTCTCAGAGTGGATCAACCAGTTTTGCTGCTGACAACCAGAACCAGCTGATCACATGCTCAAGAAGGATCATCAGCCTAACAATGGATCATTAGCACCTGATGGCTGTTTACTATTCACAGAGGGCTGAGTGATACTAGCAATCACAGCATTGTAAGAGGGGGCTTCATCCCTGAAAGAGTGACCGCTGGCCTGGAGATGAGTGTAGACCTCAGAGTCCTGGCCTGATGATGTTGATCTTCTGTGCTGGTCCATCCTTTTGGCCAGTGGCTGTTTAGTTTCCCCGATGTAAGACTGATCACCCTCCTGACACTGAACAACATACACAACATTGCTCTGTTTGTGCCGGGGGACTGGATCTTTGGGATGAACCAGTCTTTAATGTATTTTGGGGTTTAAAAGCCACTGGGACGTTATGTTTAGAAAATAAACGTCTCAGTTTCTCTGATACTCCCTCAACATCTGGAATGACCACTGGTCTGGGTCTGGGTTCCTCCTTTTCACCTGTTGGCTGACTGGAGTCCTGTTTGGGTTTCTTCTTTCAGGAAGGCCCAGTTAGGATATCCACATTGCTCTAGAGCCTGTCTTGTGTGGGATTTCTCCTTCTGCCTGGCTCCTGAGTTAGTGGGGACGCTGTCTGCTCTGTGGTACAGAGTCCTGATGACTCCTAACTAGGGCTTTAACAGAATACTCGAGTAATCGACAGGTTTATTCCTAGAACATCTATCGAGTTTTTAAATTTCACGTCGAGTATTTGCAGTGACGTCATTGTGTCACGTGATCCGCACCGGGCTACTAGTAGAAGCTACCAAATGGATTCCTTCCAGCAGACAGGTGGAGCGGAGCAGGTCCAGTCTTGACAAACAGGTAGAAATGCATCAATAGTCTGGAAATATTTCACTAAAGATGAATCTTCTGGTTCAACTACCGTAAGGAAACAAAAAATGAATCAACTTCCTGACTGTTTGGAGCTCGTTGTGAACCAGTGTTACACCATATTCTGTGACCACCGTATATTGTGACCGTAGGGGGCGGTGTTGCATGCACTGTTGCAGGTCACAGAATATGGTGTAACACCGGGTCCAATCCACCGAACCAGAACCAGCTTCCTCTGACCTTGTTTCACAAACTAAAAGCAAAAAATATTAATCTCTAACCTAAATCTAATGTGCACCACAGCTGGCGGTGGTGTGGGGTGGTCGACCCTCCACTGTTTTTAGTTTTGACGTGCTGCACGTTTCTTAACTTTTGCAGCTTAATAATAAAAATTAATAGTTTAGTTTTTTCTGTGACTTATTTGCAGTATGATAAATGGTAGGAGCATAATATACGCTCCCAATGTTTTGTTGGTCTTTTTTGTAAATAATAAATGACGTTTTTTTGCAGTTTTATTTTTTATTTATTTTTTCATCTTGAGATCCTATGACGTCATCAACTACTCGAGTTTTATTATGTTAATGTCGAGTTTTAAAATTATGTAGTCATTCAACCCCTACTCCTAACTTGTGCTCCAAAGGGTGATGGGAGTCAAACTGCAAATACTGGTCTGTGTGGGTGGGTTTGCGGTATACCTCAGTTTGCAAATGTCCTCTATCAGAGACTGAGACCTCACAGTCCAAGAAAGCCAACCTGCCATTTTTTACATCTTCTCGTGTGAACTTGATGTATTTATCCACAGAGTTGATGTGGTCAGTAAAATGTTGGACTTCCTGAGATTTGATTTTAACCCAGGTGTCGTCAACATACCTGAACCAATGACTTGGTGGTGTCCCTGAAAAGGACGTCAAGGCTCTCTTTTCTACCTCCTCCATGTACAGGTTGGCAACAATAGGAGAAACTGGAGACCCCATAGCACACCCATGTTTCTGCCTATAATATTGCTCCCCATATGTGAAGTAGGTTGACTGCAGGCACAGTTTCAAGAGTTGACACAGTTGTTCTGTGGAAAGCGTGGTCCTGCTGCTCAGAGTGGTGTCTGATTTTAATCTTAAACTGACCACCTCTACTGCATCATCAACAGGAATGCACGTAAAGAGTGATGTGACATCAAAAGAGACCATTGTTTCATCAGTCTCCTTGATGACATCCCTCACCTTATCCACAAAGTCCATGGTGTTCTGTATGTGGAGTTCTGAGCTGCCAACTAAAGGGATGAGTACAGACGCCAGATATTTGGAAACATTGTAAGTGACAGAGTTAATCATGCTAACGATTGGTCTTAAAGGTACACCTTGTTTGTGGATTTTAGGTAAACCATACAGACTAGGTGTGGCCTCCCCTGGGTACAGTCTGTGGTACAGAAAACGGTCAATAGCCTTGTCCTGCTCCAAATTTTTCAGGCAATCTATTAACTTCTTCTTGTAACCACTTCCTGGATCTCTTTTCAGAGGTTCATAAGTGGTTAAGTCACTAAGGAGTGTCATAACTTTCTCATGATAGTCTTTCTGGTTCAAAATCACTGTGCACCTTCCTTTGTCTGCTGGGAGAATGATGATGTTTTTGTCTTTGCTAAGAGTGGTGAGTGCATCCCTCTCCTCTCTACTGATGTTGGAAGGTGGTGGTTTGGCATTGCTGAGGCAGGCTGAAACTTTGATTCTGAGCTGTTCTGCTTCACCCTCTTTCATTTTGTTGTTGTGGATGGCTGATTCTGATTCTGATTCTCCACCAGAGGAATTCTCTCCATCCTAGTACCATATTTTTCAGACTGTAAGTTGCTCTTTTTTTCATAGTTTGACCAGTTGTGCGACAGATGCAACTTATATACCTTTTTTTTTTCCCTATTCATGACTCAATTTTTGACTGACACGTTGAACGTTCATTCATACAGACATGAACCTGAGTAAACATTACCATTTGCAGCCGTGAGAGGGCGCCCTAGGCTTTGGACAACTATATGTTGTTCCTCTTCTGAAACCCCCCCACCCCCCATCTTCCTCTGCAGTTGGTGGGCTGTTCAGGAGCGATAACGAGAATGTACAGTAACTTGCTTGTCGGACTCATTTGCTTATGTTTTATTTATTATGTATTTATTTTTCCTCCTTGCTCTCAGTGAAGGCAGATGCTTCTCCCTCCTGCTCCATCCCTACTCTGCTCTTTGTCCCAGAGCCTCTCTTTGCATATCTTCCGAATTGTAAATTATGGATCTGGTCAGCTGGTGTCTCAACACAAATGATCAAGTTTTCTCAACAACAAGACAGGGAGAAGGAAAGCCCTCCTGCCCCGGTGGAACAGTAGCAGCTGGATACAAGATGGATTCCTGGGGGAAGTGGAAGATTGTGTGTTTTTATTGTCGGTTGAGGATGTTGAAGATGCGTTCATAATTGAATTTAAGATAAAAGGATTTCTGCTGTTTGGAGTTGGTGGTTACCTGGCATATCGTCAGCAGCTGTTCTGGCCATTGTGAAGCTGCCTGGCATGTGTGAGGGGATGTGCCGTGCTGTCAACACTTGGACTCAAATGCTGTGCGAGCTGAGCCATAAGCTGGACGCGAATCTTGCTGAGAATTGCAGACTACTTGTGGCTCCTGAATCTCGCTGGCAGGAAGGAATAGATCTAGGAGAAGTTGTAAGCTCGACTCGACTCAGATTCAGATATCAACATTTGTTTTGGATCAGGCTGAGCTCTGTTAATTTCTGTCTGCCTTTACAGTCTCGCTAGTACATCTCATGGTGACTCCAAACAGACAAATTTTGTATGTAATCAAAATTTGTACCAAGTTACTGTAGTCGCGACCTGACTTCGGAATAATAATGGATGGATGAATGGATGGATGGATGGGATGGATGGACACTTGGTAACTACTCTAGTATTTACTGTTATTACCTAATAAACACGTACTGATTAGAACATAACTATAATATTTACATATGATCAAATAATTACACAACCATTTTTAGCTAAATGACGGGGTATTAATATTGTAAATACTTACAAATATTTAATACTTATTACATATTGTACTGATAATTAGATGGTTATTATTGTGGTAGTTAGTTACTGTTATTACCTAACTATTTATTAATCTGTAATTACCTCTTGTTACATATGAACTATTAAATAAACATTATTTTTTGGTAAATGCCTGTTATTCATTTTATATGATAGTACATAGTAATAACACATTTATTATATAATTGTAGGAGATTACTGTGGTAACTACATAGTAATATCTGATAAACACTACATTTTACCAGTGAATACTTATTATAACAATGTTTAGATATTTCACAGGTAATTGGTTAAAACAACAACAACAACAAACAGGTGGTAAATTTTTCTTCTTCCTGTCGAGCGTGTTCAGGTTGTATGACTCCAAGAGGTGGTTACCATGGAGACCAGCATGTGATGCAGGTAAACAAACCACAGCATTCAGCTAACAGGTGCGTGCCCAAACCAACAAACACAGAAAGTTAAGATCTGGAAACCAAGAAGACGTCTTACCTCGTTAAGCTGTCCAATCAGATTAATGAGTTAACGAGCAGCATGGAGGGATCAGGGAGACAACAGTCATGAGTGGGGCGCTCGGCTGCTCAGCTGCAGCACGTTGTACATCAAACATTTATCAATTACATCCTCACAGTTCTGACTGAAGATGTGACCGTGACAACGTGTCACCATGAACAGATCTGAGCTCAGAATGACGACTTCAGTCGTCTTCAACCATATGTTGCCATGACGATTGAAACAGCAAACAGGCGAGGCTCTGACACTTCTAACGTTCATTTACAACATCTCAGGATCATCTGCTTCAGTCCATCTGCTGCTCAAAGCCTTCTGATTCAGAACAACAGACAACAGCAACCTGGACAGAACATCTTGAGAGCTGTTCCCGCCGGTGATTGGGTCAGAGCCGGGCTCGTTAGGCAGACAGACAGGAAGAACTCCGCTCCGCTAACTTTCTGCAAATGGAGGGTGAAAACGCTCCGAGTGAGGACTCAGTATGTATAATGGATCAGCCCTCAGGGCGGGCCGCGAGCAGGACTCACACACACACACACACACACACACACACCTGCACGCACACTCAGAGACACACAAAAATACAAAGACACACAAACCATTCCCAGCTTTGGCCCATTAGCTGGAGAGAAGATCTATAATGTATGTGTATGTGTGTGTGTTCAGGTAAGTAACATCCATTAGGAAGTTTCTCTGGATGAAAACACACACACACACACACACACACACACACACAGTTAGAGAACTTTATCGGCTGAGTTTCTGCTTGTTTCCGTCATTCCGCCTCTCCTGGTTTGGAACGTTGGAGACAGTTTGGAAGACCACTTGGAGGGTCCAGACCCTTCTGAGGGGACAGGTTCAGAGGTAAAGGACTGGCTGGGGACTGTTGGAGGGTTAGAAACCATTTAAGGCTGTCAGGAAGGTTAAAAACCGTTTCACGGACAAAGAGTTGAAGGCTTGTTGAGGGACAGTTTGGAAGGGTAGAGATGGTTTAGGGTGGCACTTGGAGGACTGAAGGACACTTGGGGACCATTTGAAATGTTTAGGACTGTTTTGGAGGCACTTTGTAAAGTTAGAAATGGTTTGGGGGAATGCTTGGAAGGGTAAATACCATGTAAGGGGCTTTTTGGAATGTTTTTGACTATTTGGGGTCTGTTTGGAACATTAAAGGCCACTTGGGGCCTTGGAGGGTTGAGAAAATTTGGGGGAACATTCGAAAAGTCAAGAACTGTTTGGCGACCATCTGGGGGACCTTTACGTTTGGGGGGCACTTGGATGATTGACTGCACAGGGGATCAACTGAATGATAGAAGGAGGTTTGGGATACTTGGAGGGTTGAAAACCCTTTAGAGGTTCATTGGATCATTTATGAATACTTGAGAGGGCTGCACGGTGGCACAACTGGTAGAGCTGCTGCCTCTCAGCAAGCAGGTCCTGGATTCAAACCTCGGTCCAGGGGCCTTCTGGGTGGAGTTTGCATGTTCTCTCCGTGCATGCGTGGGTTTTCTCCGCGTACTCCGGTTTCCTCCCACAGTCCAAAAACATGCATGTTAGACTGCTGGTAACTCTAAATTGTCCCTAGGTGTGAGTGAGAGAGTGAATGGTTGTTTGTCTCGTTTGTCTCTATGTGTCCCTGTGATGGACTTGCGACCCGTCCAGGGTGTCCCCCGCCCCTCGCACAGTGATTGCTGGACATGGGCACCAGCGACCCCCGTGACCCACAATGGAATAAGCGGGTAAAGAAAATGGATGGATGGATGGATGAATACTTGAGGACCTTTAAAAGGTTACAGGGAGTTTGGGGGAACCACTTCAAGGGTTGAGGACCTTTCAGTAATCACTGTCCAATGGATCCAACGATGAGAGTTGGACCACTCCAGAACCTCTCAGTGAACTTAAACTCTCAGCAGCATGTGGTGTCTGTGATTGGACCAGTTCAGACTGACGATCAATTACAGCGACACACAGGAGGAAACCTGCCTCGGTGTTCAAGAACCAACGTTTTTATCAACTTATGTCCCACTGTAAACATTGCTTCACACTACACATCAGACACAACACGCAGAGTGTTTTGCACCACCTTTGAGGTACTTAAGGTTTCCAAACAAACCTTTGGATGTTTGCCTGAAGCCCTGCTTCACTGGATACCTAAAGACCTCCGTGTGCAGAACTATTCAGAGACTTTCGTATCAGTGTTCACATGATGCGTTTGTTAAAAACATTAAACCTGTGTTGACCTATGTGAAACAACAGGGTAATTTTAACTGCTGCTTGGTTCTGAAGAACTAACAGAATATTTTTCTTGCAGCTTGAGAACAGAGCAGACCTTCATGTTCATCTTGGAGGACTGCAACACCAAGGAACTCAGCCGGTGGTAACACTACACTGAGGAAACCAAGGCTCCAGGGGAGCACCGAGTTAACTGACCCGTTTTTAATGGCTTCCTTCTTCAAGGTCTTGGCCTGACCTGTCCCCAGTTTATCATGGTAATTGTACCAGGGCTTATTCTGATGCATACTGACCCCCAAACCCCAAGCCTTAAGGGGACATCTGATCTAAAAGTGATGCAGAAAAACTGGTCCATGCATTTGTCACGTCTAGACTGGACTATTGCAATGGTTTATTATCTGGGTGTCCAAATACTTCTTTAAAACGTCTTCAGTTGATCCAAAATGCTGCTGCCAGAGTCTTAACTGGAGTTACTGGGAGAGATCATATCTCTCCAGTTTTAGCTTCTCTCCATTGGCTCCCTGTCAAATCCAGAATAGAATTCAAAATCCTACTTCTAACCTACAAAGCTCTCAACAACCTAGCTCCATCTTATATTACAGATCTTATTGTTCCATATTTTAGTAACAGAGCACTTCGCTCTCAGACTGCAGGTTTACTTGTGGTTCCTAGAGTTTCCAGCAGCAGAATGGGAGGCAGATCTTTCAGTTCTCAGGCTCCTCTCTTGTGGAACCAACTTCCAATCTCTGTCCATGAGGCTGACACATTGTCCAGTTTTAAGACTGGGATTAAGACTTTCCTTTTTGCTAAATCCTATAGTTAGGGTTGACTTGGGTTTCCTGAGCTGTCCCTTAGTTCTGCTGCTATAGGCTTAGACTGCTGGAGGACAAACTGACCACACTTTTCACTCTGCTGCTGTCTTTACTTACTCTGCTCAACCTGTTTTGTATTTGTAATAATTTTTTCTATCATTAACATGTGTTTGTCTTTCAGGTACACCTGGACCTATATCTGGACCTGGACCTATATCTGTACCTGGACCTATATCTGGACCTGGACCTATATCTGGACCTGGACCTATATCTGGACCTATATCTGGACCTGGACCTATATCAGGGCTTGGACCTATATTTGGACCTACCATTCTGTGTTCGTCCCTGAGACAACTTTGTTGTGAACTGGTGCTTTATAAATAAACTGAATTGAACTGAATTCAAGGGGGTCCTCAAACTCCTACAAACTTTAAGGTTCTGTGTTTGTGCTCCTGCTCACCTCATACTCCTCCTTGAAGCCATAGCCTTCGGCACACTTCATCTGGGTGATGTGCTGCAGCAGGTCCGCCACCCGGATGGCTGGGTGTAGCTGTCCGGTCTGGTAGGGCAGAGCCTCCCGCTCCGACTCCCGCTTCTTGTAGTGGGACTGGACCAGGCTGCTGGTTTCACTGGTCATTGTGTGACTGTCATCTGAAGGCAAGAAGACATGAGGATCAGACTGGAGCTGGACAAGAACACAAGGTGTGGGGGGTCATGATTGACTGGGCCAGGTTCACATGAATAAAAAACAACTCAGTGTCATGACGGAACCAGAACCAGGTGAATGAGCTGTGGATGCTCCGGATCGAATCCAACATGTGGAACACTAATTAGTCTTCAAATATTTATTCAGTTTTCGCTTCACTCTGGACAGACTGGACAGTTTAAGAGATGCAGCAGAGTTACAGCTGGCTCTGATAAGAGAGTAGACCTCTCTAAACCAGGTCTACTGGGACCAAAACCCTACACACCAGACTCACTCAGACTCTGGACTTCTGGATTGGATCTAAGGAGTAAACCAACACCCTGGACTCAGACTCTGGACTGAATCTTCTGGGACTCTTCGCAGGTCTTAATGTTCTCACCAGAGTGTCTGAGTAAGCTGAAGCTTCAAGTCAACCTTTACCTGAACATCAGAGCACCGTCCGTCCATCTATGTTCAGTTTGATTCTCCAAACCTCCAAAACCAAAGTGTGAACAGGAACAGGAGGCAGAAGAGTCCAAACGTCCCCGTATGACCCGACAAGTCGGAGATCCACCTGAAGCCACCTGTCCCTCAGGTGGTCAAAGTCCAGGATCTGTCAGGAGCCTTGATCAGTCCATCGCTGACGCCTCGTCTTCATCTGTCTCCTGTCCTGCTTCATCGCTCCACCTTCAGCCGCTGCAGTCCTGAGTCTTCAGTCCGAGTCCTGGCAGTCGATCTTACTGTAGGTTCTGTTTCCAGTAGCTGTGTTCAACGTTATGTTGGCGTCTTTCTAGATTTAGATTTAGGGTTAGGGTTGGTGTTTTTCTAGATTTGTATGAATTTTCCAGAATTTACCGATGATCACATGAACGTTGGTTTAGTTTCAGGTACGGAGTCCATCAATGATACGACTCAAGGCTTAAAAAGGACTGAAGACCTCGTTCCCAATGTAAAGCACATCTCATTCAGTGCAAGGGAAAGCATCGGCCTGAGACACTGCTGTCCAACATAAAACTGTCCAGTCTGTACAATAACACGTCCTGGTCCACGTCCATGCCCACCAAGCTGTTACCATGACGACACGAATGGATGACATCACATGACTTCAGGTCACATGTCTGGTAAATAGGATGATGATGGTTTCTTTTCATGCTGCAGCCATAAAGGAACATTCAGTCACTGTAACAGACAGAGTTCTGGTACAGAACAACCAGATTACTGACCCGGGTCCAGCTCGTGTAAGGTCTGTGTGAGTACACCACAGTCTATCCAGGACTGGTTTATTGAGATGTTCTGGTTCTGAACCAGTTCATAAAGCTGCAGTGTGAAAAGAGCAAACTGGACCTCCATCATTGGATTCACTGTCCAGGACTCTGACAAGAACATTTCAGCAACAACATGGCGGACAGAACTTCCACTACGTTCTCTAACTCTGTTCTTATTGGCTAGCCTGGGGGCTGACTGACCAATCAGAAGCTCTCTATACATAATGAGCCATGAGGGTGGAGGCGGTGGTCTGTGATTGGATGGATGAAAAAAAATCAACGCGACAAGAACAACAACCAATCAGAGGAGTTAGAATGCAGAAACCTGATTGGTTGGGGGTGAAATGGTGGGAGGGTCAGGAAGAGTGATGTCACAGTTTCACAGAGAATAAAAATGAATCTGTCATGTTAACTGATGACATCAGAGCGGCTGGTGGGTGTGGCTCCATGCGCAGTGACAAACCCCTCTCAACATGAGCCCCCTCCCATTTAGCCCCGAGTTTACCCACTTACCATTAATGGGCACTTTACACACAGAAAGATAAAAGAGAAGAAGAAGAGAGACACGAGATAAGCAACAACTTTAGCTTTGGCTTCAGCCTGGCGTTAAGCTAGCCTACTGCACAAAGCTAGCATGAATCAAACAATGTCTACCTGAAATACTGACAACTAGCATCAAGGGCTAACCTGGCTGACACCCCTGGCCGGCAGACTGTTTACTCCAAGGAGAGGCCAACTGTGAGTTTATCGGACAGCTCACTTTTAGATTAGCTCGTTAACATCTTCTTAGTTGAAACGGCTAACATTCAGATACAGCTGGAGTCTGTGAGGCCAAACAGAAAGACGATGGTTCAAGTCCAAATTATTTCCCAGCACAGCCCTGGACCTGTCAGAACACTCTGCCTGCGAGCTACGTTGGACCTTGTCCAGGTGTGGACCGTTTGTGTCCACACCTGGTGCTAACAGACTGGGAGACAGAAAAGAGCTCAGAGCGCCACAGAGCCCTGAACAGGGTTCATTGTTAGACCGGATCAAAATCAGACCAGATACAGGACCAGCCTGGATGGACCCAACAGGGTCACATAGGCCTTTTGGGCTCAAGTACACTCAACCAGGGTGGACCCGCACGGACCAGCTGGCTGTAGCATGTTTTAACGACTTCCTGTTGGAGTCTCCTAAACTTCCTGCTTTAACAGAATTAGCTTCCAACCGTGACGGACAGAACACAGAAGCTAATGATGAACGATCCAATCAAAACTTCTGTGTTTATCTCTGAATCTGACAGTTTAAAGAAATAAAACCTGAAATCCATTTAATGAATGTTTGATGTGAACGCTTACGTCATAAATAATCAATAACCTCTTTTTGATAAATAATCATTTCATTGTTAAAAACAATCAGACTTTAAGGAGGTAAACATGGGAAACTCTCTGCTGCCTCCTCAGTTGTTGTTTTGTTGTTTGTTTGTTTTGTTTCCTGCCCCAGTCCACGTGGGTGTGTCCATGCAGAGGTCGGAGGTCACAGAGAGACGCCACGTCAACACGACACGCAGGAATGTTGTGGATGCGTGGATGGAGTGAAGCCCACCGTCGTTTATCAAAACAAAAACAGGTGAAAACACTAAAATAAATAAACATCACTCGAACCAACTCAAGGAGCACGAAACAATCAATAAATGATAAACAACAGATAAAAAATGCACTTTAATATTTACAAAATAAATCCAAAGGTAAGAGAACGTGGAAGTTCAAATGTTTAAATTAACAGCTAAAATCAAAGAAATCTCACAGATGAGAAAACTGAGAAACAAACGAGGAAAATCTGGAAACAAATAACCAAAAAGTGTTGAACAGGAAGCAAGCAGGGATGGATGGAGCCAGGACATCCTGTCTTCACTAGCTGTCTGTCTGCCGCCCAGCTGTCTGTCCTATACAGCCTGTCTGTCTTCCTGAGCAGCTGAGATGTTCCGATATACAAAGAAAACAAATAAAAAGAGTCTCACCCAGGATGGCTGTTGGAACGAAGGGATCTGCCATTAGGAGGCACCAGAAGAAGAGACAGACAGGGAGACAGACAGGAACCACCAGAGACAGAGACAGAAAGAGAGACACACAGGAACAACCAGAGACAGA